CCATGCCACTCACATGGTAGGAATATGGCTGTGTCCACACTGCTGCCCCCGGCCCCTGCCATTTACTTCTCAGGGTTCCAGTTCCCAGAGGAGTCAGGGCTGTGTCTGAGTTTCAAGTCTAGGTTCCAGGGCATATTGGTTGTGCTCTGCCAGTGCCCACTTTTGGACCAGTCATCTGGAGCTTGGCAGTGAGGTCGGGTTGCACAAAGAGCCACTGGTCTGCACTACTTGGAGAAAGAAGTTCCTAAAGGAGAGGGGCCAGCAGCCCATTGGAGGGCTGGGTGCAGGGCATGTAACATGCATAATAAACATTGCCTCTTGCCATAATTCTCTCAGGCCAGGTTAGCATGACACATGTGGCTGCTTCATATCTGGGAGGCAGCTGTCTCTTGACATTTAAAGTACACACAGCTGAGCATGGTGGCACACTCCTATAATCCCAATGACTTGAGAGGCTGAGGCAGGAGGACTGCAAGTTCGAAGACAAGTCTGGGTAACTTAGACCCCTCAAAAAAAAAAAAAAAAAAGGCTGAGAATATAGAGTGATAAAGCATTCTTGGGTTCAATCCTCAGTATTGGGGGGAAAAAATCACACATGAGTGGGCACTTCCTCCCCTTTTGTTTCCTCCTTTCTTTCCTACCTTCTTATTCCTCTATCTCCTCTTTCATTCCTCCATCTCTGAGCTGGTTGAAGAAGGCCTCTGAGAAGATGTTTGAGCTCAGTCTGAAAGCAGGAGAGGAAAGTGTAGCCAGAGGAGGCTCATGTTGTGTCCAAGGGGACAGCCACCTCCTAAGGTGGCTTCAGCAATGTACCAAGAACAGAGAGGTGGCCTGTGTGGCTTGAGCTGAGCATTCAGGGTCAAGAGTAGGAAAGATGAAACCCGAGATGGAGTTTTAATTTACTTTTTAATTTCATTTTTTTTGTGGTGCTTTTTAATTTTATTTTTATTTCTGAAGGATTTTCAGTGAGATATGGATGAGATCCAATTTACCTGTCATACCAACGAGCTCTGGCTGCTCTCCAGAGTACAGGAAGTAAGGAGGCAAAAGTGGAAGCCCAGAACCCAGTGGGAGGAGATTTCATTCTGGAGACGGGATGTGGCTGGTCAGAAAGGCAGCCACAGAGGTGGGCAAAAACGGGAAGTCAACAAGCAGCATCTGTGGCTCCTTTTCAGCATGGCTCTCAGATTACTAGAGCTGGCTTTGCCGGGACACTCAAGACAGAAGTGCCTGGGAATTTACCTCTCCTGGGAAGTCCTTCACCTGGGACAAATGAGGCAGAAGTGTGAAAGCCCAGTCTCTGCCTCAGCCTGGGACTCTGCCTGAGATTGCCTGGCTTCCCTTCTACCTTACCCGGCTTCTGCTACTGGGTGGCCATCTTAGTGGGAAGGCTGTCTTGCAGAAGCTTCCCCATGTGATCAGCCCTTTTCCTTCTTCCCATCTCATAGCTGATGGAGACCACCTCATAGCTGGCAGTTCTGACAGAGAGGCGGCCTGTGTGGCTTGAGCAGAGCACGCAGGGTCTACAACTTCTAGGCCCACAACTTGGGCTGTTAGGGGATTTTCAGATGCAAAGAACTAAGAGGAGGAAGTCCTGGTGTCAGTCCTGAGCTGCAGTGGGATTACCCCAATCACCAGCTTGGGGACCCCAGAGCCAGGACCTCTCATCCCTGTCTCATCCACAATTGGGAGAGTTCTTCAAAAGAGCCTCTCCTGCCACATGGCCTTGGGAGGGGCAGGGGACCCAGGGGCCAGGTACTGGGCCTCCAGTAGGGGCAACCGTACTCCAGCTGGCTCTGGAAATCCCAGAGACCAGCCTGCTGTTTTTCCAAGACACCAAGTGGGCAAGGACCACATCTTCTGCTGTTCCCACAACAGACCTGCAGGGCCTGAGCACACTGCCAGCACACGTAGCTGCTCACTGATCTGCTGCCACCTTGGCTCCTGGTCACCCAGGCCAGGCACACACAAGGGCCTCTCTCAAATAATCTCATTGAAGTCAGGAAACAGGCTGGTAGGAGATGATTTTGATGTCCATTTTATTTATTTTTATTGCAAATTTTAAAATTTTTTGGTACTGGGGATTGAACCCATGAGGAGCACTCTATCACTTGGCTGTACCCCTAGGCCTTTTTTTATTTTGAGTGTGGGTCTCACTAAGTTGCTCAGGGCCTTGCTAAATTGCTGAAGCTGGTCTTGAACTCTTGCTTGAACTCTTGATCCCCCTGAGCTGCTGGAATTAAAGGAGTGTGTCACCATGCCTGGCTTGGTACTCATTTTAGAGTTGAAGAAAACAAAGTTCAGGTAATCCAGTGATCTGAGAAAGATCATGCCATGTAATGGACTGAAGGTTTGCCCACCCTCTCACTCATATGTTGACACCTTATTGCCCAAGGTGATGGTATTAGGACATAAGGCTTTGGGAAGTGATTAGGTCACAAGGGTGGAGCCCTCAGATGGGACTACTGTCTTAATAACAGGAGGCCAGGGAGCTCTCTTGCCCTCATTCCACCATGTGAGGACACAAGGAGAAGGTAGCAGTCTGTGGCCAATAAGAGACTACTCACCAGATACCCTGATCTTGAACTTTCAGGCTCCAGATTGTGAAAAGTAAATTTACAAGCACTCCAACTTATGGTACTTTCTATTGCAGCCTGAACTAAGAGCACATATGTGGACCCTCCAGTGCCCACCCAGGGCTCTCTTCTCCTAGTCCTGCCTGGTCCTGTCTCATGGAGCCTTAGGGCATTTAACCACTTCCCATGTCCTGATCAGCACCAGGCAACTGAATGGGTCCAAACCCCTCCACAGCTCTCAGGTCAGATATGACCTTTTCCAAATCACTTCATTAACTGAATCTTGTTCTCCTCAATTCTCATGGGTGTAAAAATAATAGCTTATCTATATTTTTTTGAGAGCATATTGCCTGTCATTCCTCTTACCTATAAGCCAATTCAACTCCTGTTCTAGAAAATGCAGGGGTTCAGAGCCTTTAAGCTCTCTCCACAGGCCCATTTCTGATAACTTTCCTGCTTCCCAAGGATGGATCAATCTGAATGACAGGCCAGGGTGGTTCCAGACTGAGCTGGTTGGTTCCCCGTGGCCTTTGGTACCAACTGGCTCTCTCCCCCAGTCCCTGAGATTTCAGGTCCACGGATCTCATTACTGTCTTTTCTTACTGTCTCCCATTTGAGGCCAGCATTCCTGCTGTCTGCTGCCTCCCATCTTGACCCTAGCCAATATCTAGCCGTCTAGAGTCAGCCCCATAACCTAGAGAGAAGGCTTTAGACAAAGGGCTTGGTCCCAGAGGCTTCTTTTCCCCTGGGCAAAGTCCTAACTCCCTGGGTTATTATGGAATAGGCTAAAAGAGGTATAGGCTTAGGACACCATCTCCCTACTCTTATCCTAGATCCTACTCTGAGAATGGATGCTTCCCTCCATACCTCTTGCTTCTGCCCTGATTTTCTGCCCATCATGGATGAAGTACTTTTTTTCAGAAGTTGTCGGAAACTGAGGGTTGGGAGGGAAGGAACCAAAACCACATAGAAGAGCTCAGTGTGAAGCTGCCCCTGGCCCTCCCTGCCTAATCCAGGGTCCTGCTGCACAGACCAGGGTGAGCCATCATAGACCCTGGGGCTGGCAGGACCATCCACAAGAGGTTGAGTGCTATTTTTTGGGGGGTGGGGGTGGGGGTACTGGGATTGAACCCAGCGGTTCTTTATCACTGAACTACATCCCTAGTCCTTTTTATTTTTTGAGACAGGGTCTTGCTAAGCTGCTGAGGCTGGCCTTGAATTTGAGATCCTCTTTCCTCAGCTTCCCAAGTTGCTGGGATTATAGGTGTGTGCTGTGCTACCAGGCCTGGCTAAGCAGCAATTTTGAAGCCTGGAGACTGCTGGAGCTGCTTCTTGTAGCTCTCTAGGGCCAGGTAAGAAAGGGATGTTAGTGAAATGGTTGCATAACATGACACACAACCTCAGAGCGGAAGATAAATCTGGGAGTGGTGAGGACTGAGGCAAACAGGAGAACCCAAGGCAAGGCCACTGCTAGCCTTATATGGTACTTTTGTGCAAATAAGGAGAAGCCCACTTCTAGGTCTTGGACCTGTGCCCCTGACTTGTTAGAGAAAGAGGGCTGAATTTTTTTTTTTTTTTTTTTTAATTTTTTAATATTTATTTTTTCAGTTCTTGGCTGACACAACATCTTTGTTTGTATGTGGTGCTGAGGATCGAACCCGGGCCGCACGCATGCCAGGCGAGCGCGCTACCGCTTGAGCCACATCCCCAGCCCGAGGGCTGAATTTTAACTATCTCCTGCCTCCTCCATCTTGGCCACCTCTCTAGCATGTCTTTGGGCAGTGTACTGGTTCCACGTAAAAGGATGCCTGTCAGCTGTCACTCTGTAGGGATGAGGGCCTCATGATGAAGTTTCCAGTTTTTCAAGGGCAGTAGAATATAGGGCTTTTTTTGGTACTGGAGACTGAACCCAAGGGTACTCTACCATGGAGCCACATCCCCAGCCCTTTTTCATTAATTTATTTTTTTAATATTTTTTTTAATTATAGTTGGACACAATATCTTTTTTATTTATTTATTTTTATGTGGTGCTGAGGATCGAACCCAGGACCTTACACGCACTAGGTGAGCCCTCAACCGCTGAGCTACAACCCCATTCCTGCCCTTTTTTATTTTGAGACAGGCCTTGCTAAGTTACTGAGGCCGGCCTGGGACATGCGATCCTCCTGCCTCAGCCTCTGAGTTGCTGGGATTACAGGTGTGTACCACCATGCCTTTTTAAGATTTAAAAAATTGAAAAAATTGGTGATGAATTTGCCCCATAAGCCCCAAAAAACTCGTCTGTGCTGATAACGCCTATGAAGGGCCACCTTCTCAGTGCCTGCAGGAGGGGGCTCATCCTTCTTGGGCCCTACATTGCTCTGCCCAGAATGGTGCCCACTTCACACCCCAAGACCTGGCTGGCTCAGACCACGACCACCCTACCGGCTTGGGACAATGGATGTAGCGGGCGAGGCTGATGATAAGGTCATGTGTGATGGGGTCCACCAGGTTCCGGAAGCTGGCATAGCGATACAGAACATCGTCCAGTGAGGTTGACTCCATGCCCAGATCCTGAAAGAGCAGATGTCCAGAGATTAGGGGCAAATTCCCAGAGGTCAGGAGTCATCCAACTTGCCTGGCATTCCCAGGAGCAAGAGGTGCAGCTCTTGGAGGCAGCAAATCCTCCCCCAGAATCCTGGCAAGGAAGCATCTACACAGCATTCCTCAGGGGACCAGGATTAGCTCCTCCCTAATTCTTTACCTCCCAGGTGAGGAAGAGGGACCCACATCTGCAGATCCCAGTTTGTGAACCTCTCCCAAGATAGTCTCTCCAGACTGCCTCTCTGGTTTCCAGAAGGATGAAGCTAAGGGTAGCTGTCCTTAGCCCTGGTGGCTGCTTCTCCCTAAGGGCAGAGTTAGGCGGCTGCATACACAACAAACACTCCTGCCTTGTGTCAGGATGGTTTTCTGATCTTTATTCTTTTTTTTCCCCTCCCCCTGCTGCTTCTGAGGTTATTCTGACTGCTCATTCTGTAGGTGACCCAGCCTCAGTGTTCTTTGCCTTGGAGGTTTTTGAGTTGTAAGGTTCTAAGGAGAAGCTGCCAGGTACTCAGAAGAAAACCCCACCTGGGACCCCACAGAGATATTAGGTGGGGGTCTTCCTGATGAGAGAGGAGCAGGGTGGAAGTGAGCTGGGACATGGGGCAGTGGCCGAAACTACTGGAGCAGAGCTTGTCTCCTGGTCTGAGGAGGGACAAGGGCTTGGGGGTGACAAGGATCAGGACATGTTATCCCAAAAATTGGCATGGTGGCATTTGAGAAAACAGAAACAGGAACGTCTCTCTCCACCCATCCTTCTTCCCTGCAGCAGGTGAGAGAACTCTTTCACCTTCTTTTATGTCATGACTTCATTCTAGAAGGGTCCCCTCTATGGGGAGGAAAGGAATGTCTTCATTATTGAAAACAGAGATGCCAAGGAGAATCTGAATAAAGAGGCCTACTAAGACTCCCCCAAGTTTATCACCATTAGTTTATACCCTTTTGTCCTTTGGTGAGACTTCTGCACGACTATCCACAAAATTACATGGATTTGAGCCATATCTCCAAACCATCTTTGGGTCTCATGTCATATAAATCTTATATATTTGTGTGTTTCCTCTTGTGAATCTTTTTTTTGTGTGTGTGTGTGTGTGTGTGTGTGGGGGGGGTACTGGGGATTGAACTGAATTGTATCCCAGGCCCTTTTTTGTATTTTTTTCTAATAGTCTCATTAAGTTGCAGGAGTTGGTTTCAAACCTATGACCCTCCTGCCTCAGTCTCCTGAGTTGCTGGTTTTACAGGTGTATGCCACTGTGCCTGGCTGTAAATCTGTTTTTTTAATCATAGAAAATTTCAGCTGTGAATTTTAGGATGCATTCGGAAAATTTTCTGTCCTACAGGAGCACCACATACAGAGTCCCCAGCTCCAAAGACTGTACAGAGACCCTGCCAGCAAGGACCACCATGGGTGTACCTCAGAGAAGTTAGTTGTCCAGTGTGGACTGGGATCCAAAGGTCCTGTTCTGACTGCTCTGAGCTGCTTAAAATCCTAATGCCAGGAAAAGGACAGGTCTCCCAAATACATTTGAGCTTGGCTAGTGGGAGCTCAATATGAAGTTCTTTGCTTTCAAGAAGTAAAGAAACATGCTTTTTCTGCCCTAGAGTGTTGGATTAAACAATAAAAGTTGATGGGCGTTGGACAGGAAATGTGGTGGTGACCAGCTGAGTTCCAGCTGGGATTTGCCTGTCATTAGATAGAATATTCAGAACCCCTGCCCTGCATTTTTTTTTTTTTTTTTTTTGTGGTCCTGGGTACCAGGGACATTCCACCACTGAGTTTCATCCCTTACCTTATTTTATTTTGAAACAGGGTCTTACTAAGTTGCCCAGCCTGGACTTGAACTTCAGATCCTTCTACCTCAGCCTTCTGAGTCGCTGGGATTACATATTCAGAAGTTTTCTAAACATCTTCCCCATGTGATTCCTAGAAATCCCTATAAGGAAGTGGGCAGCACATCATCATTTCTGATTGACAGGTGAAGAAATGGAAGCCCAGGCAGGTTGACATCTTCATCTGTCACAATTTCAGGAATGCTGGGGTGAGTGAGTCTGGGCTTGTTCTGCAAGCCTTGCATCTGCTGTTATTCACCACTTGGAGTGAGCTGGGCAGGAGGTGCTGGATGGCAGGGATTCTGCTCAGTGGTTTGGAGGCTGATAACTCTAAGAACAAACAGCAGTCTTGCTGGGCGTGGTGGTACACACCTGTAATCCCAGTGGGAGACTGAGGCAGGAGGATAGTGAGTTCAAATCCTGCCTCAGCAACTCAGTGAGTGAGGCCCTGTCTCAAAATATTAAAAAGGGGCTGGGGATGTGGCTCAGTGGTCAAGCGCCCCTGGGTTCAATCCCTGGTACAAAATAAATAAATAAATAAATAAAATAAAATAAAGAAAAGAAAGAACAGCTTCTGCTAAATGAATCCAGAGGGGTGAAGATGCTGGCCAAATCCTATCTACAAGTGATTGGGGGCACTCTGTTCTCTACCCCTCATAATGGCCAGTTCTGGGAGCTTTGTTTTCCATCTGAGAGGCAAACTCTAATGCCCTATGCCAGGTTCTTTGACTGCTAAAATAGTTTTCTGGGGACCTAGATCTAGAGACCCAAGGTGAGGCATGGCTAAGTGGAAGGAGCTTTTGTCAAGTTCCGGAGCTAGATCCTTTGCAGAACCAAGTGTAACACTTGAGTTGACCTCTGTCCCCGGTTAATGGGGACAGTTGCCCCAGCATCACAAGTCAGTGAGAGAAACCAAACCAAGTAACATAGGTAAAGCCTCTGGTAGAGACCAGAGCCTCCCCTATCCCATTCTATTCCCCTCTGCTTCCTATTCCTGGGCCTGGGAGGTTCCTCTTCTCCCCATGCAGTAGTTCTTGACCTTTCTGGACCACAGACACATCTGAGGATGAATCAAAAGCCATGAACTTTCCAGAAAAACAAGGGAGTCAGAGCAGAAGAGGTGGGATGGGCAACATTGTGCTTGAAGTCCATGATTGCTTCAAGGTCACGAGGGTGTATCTGGGTGGTGTGGATACATCCCAAGACACACATATTACCCAGGAATATGCATAAATGTGGCCCTGTGCTGCCTGGGGCAGGAGGAGGCTGGGAATGCAGGAAGGCCTCAAGTCAAAGGGCTTGTGTTATAGGGTCTCAGAAGGCCAGTGTGGTAAAAGGGCCATGATCCAGCATCCAGCTTCCCAGGGACACCCCTGCTTACAGCTCAAGCCTCCATTCCATGAGAAAGGAATTGGGGAAGGATGGCAGAGGAACCGGGTGGAAGCAGAGGTGTGGTGGTTCCCATGGCCAGATGCTCCATGGGAAGGTCAGAGGCATGGGTTTATTTTTCTTTGAGTGTATCCTACAAGCTGGGCTGGTCCTCTGTAACTGTGGATCGTGCCAGCTGTGTGTACCCTTGATACCTAGTGGTCTCAGGCCCTAGCTGGCCTCTACCACACTACAAGTCTGTGAGCAAGAGACCTTGCTTTTGAGATCTGTTTCTGCATCTGTGAAATGAGTACGCACACCACAACCGTAATCAAACTGGATCTGATGATCTTGAGGCTGGCAGGTAGGGACTGGGGTAGAAAAGAGGGAGGCCAGAGGAATCAGCAAGACTGCAGGTTGTGGTTTTCAGCAGAACGTATTTTGGCTTCATACAAACAAATGTAGCTCTACTGCCAAAGAAAAGTTGGAAAACCCAAGACTAGGTGATTGCTTCAGGGTGATTATTTCTACTAGCCCCACATTTCCAGGACAGCTGAAGTCACCCATTCTGGAAGGACCAAGAAAATGTCACTGGCTAATCCAGTGGCTGGGCGGGTCTGAGAAGAAGCAAAGTAGCCTTCCTAGAGCCCATTCTCCCGACAGTGGCTCTCTTTCCAGTATTGCCTGGTTTCATGCAGTTGTTGCCTGATGGGGATGGTGGGAAGGAAGGATGGGCTTTGCGGGAGTAGGGTCTCCCAGGATGGCATGCTGGGAGATGGAGCCAATGCACTCCTTGTGTATTCCAGCTGGGGTGGGGCTCCCACAGGTTGCAGACAATAATAGGGAACATCAAATGGGGGTAGGGCAACAGATGCTGCACGCCTCATTGCTTTATTTCTTCATTTTGATCCTGTCTAGCTCCACAGAATGCTTGTGTTGCTTTAGGGCACTTCAGGGTCCTGAGGCTTACAGGCCACTCCAGCCTCCTGGTGTCTTCTGGTACCCCTCCCCTAAACCATTGTTTCTTACTGCCCATGGGGCTGCCCCCAGGGTGGGTATGAGGGGAAAGCAGGTAACCAGATCCTCAGGGTATCTTAGGAGCCGCAGGGGATGGGCTTCTCTGTTTTTGCCCCTAGGGTCTGCATCAATGCTGCCCCATGGGGGCCCCTTGTGCTCCCCTCCGCCTTGGCTTCTTCATATTTGAGGGAAGTGGAAGAATCAAATCCAGACATGGCCCTCATATGCCCCAGCCTTGCAGAGGTTGGTTACCCTGGCAAAGCATGAGGCATCGAAGCAAATCCCATCCGCTTCATTATGGGTCTAAATGGTACCATCTCCAGGAACTTCATACAAGAACCGTTCCTTCTCAGTAAGTTTGGGAGCTTATTATTAATCATTGGATGTCCTTGAATCACGCTGGCAAGAGGTATGCTCAGAGGGTGTGGTGGCCTGACCTTGAGTCACTAGCTGCTCCCTGACCTGCTGGACTTATTGGTCATGGATACACAAGGCATCTCGGAGGAAGAGGGGCCCTACATGATGTGAGTTTGAATAACCAGTTTTGGGAACTTGTGAAGAAGGGATGAGATGATGGTTTGGGGCCAGGGGTATAGGCTCTCAACAAGTGAGTAGGAATTAATCCGAGAGGTCAGAACAGCACTTCCCTAAGTGTGGTCTAAAGACCTCAGGAAGAGGGCCCTGCAGACCCTTTTGCAGCTCTGAAAGGACCTTTTTTTCCAACGACATAATCTGTGTGACACTAGAGTTTCTTCATA